TCGTTTTTCCACGTATACTTGCGCTAGGAATAACAATACGCGAATAGCAGAGTGAATGGTGAACAAAAATAAAATCCTGCAAATAAATGTTGTTGTTCAACGGCATAGTGTAAGTGCATACAAATCGTCAACTCGATTTTGCCGTATTTTAGTGTGAAAAAGTAGCTGTTGTGTAAGATATCCAGCTGTCAAACGTATTATTTTTATTTCTTGTTTGTTTGAGGGAATTGTCAAGTTTTGTCGTGTGGTTTTATCTTTTTTCGTTTAAACGTTGCATTCAGACTATTAATAATCATTTAGTGCATTGCGTTGACTTGAAATTAAAACAGAATAAATATTTATGAAATGACAGAAATCAGATGTTGGACTGACAGACGCCATTACTTTATTCTAGGAATAGCTCCGTTATTCCGTGCGAAACGGCGGTATAGTAACAATTCCCGAATAGGCCCACTATTCTTAGAATTGTAGTTGGTAAAACGTAAAAGTGATTTACTCTCGATTAACTGACGAGTTATTCTAAGAATAAGATTTACTCTTGTTTGGTCGAATCGACCCTAAATGACATTAATAAATTTCGCTTTATACAAACGAAAATACACACCAAGCAAATAAAATCCTAATCAAATCTATTTTGAAGGTAAAATGCTTTTTTTTATTTGTATTTTATTATTTCTGAAATCGTAAAATAGTATTAATCTACCTAATATAAATCTACAGTGGTTTTTACGGATGTTCCGTTATAAGTACTGAACCATGCATCCGGTTGATTTGAAACTTGGTATCCATATAGAAAATACATGTATTTAATGGATAAGCTAATATTTATATGAGTGTTGGACTCCCTAATAATAAAGACAATAAATAATAATGTTAATTTTAAATGCCCAGCGAAGCGGGCGAGTACGGCTAGTTATGTCTATGACTCGTGTTCACAACTGATTAAATTACCTCGTTTACCGACGTTCTGCAGGAAAAGTCGATTGGCGACAGCCTGTCTCTGGTTAGCCTCGCGCATTTGCTTACGGGCCACCTCAAGCAACAGCCGCTGCCGAAGCACTTCCATCGGGTTGTTGATAGACAGCGATGGCATCTTGCGTTTCGGCCGCGCCCGACCCGAAGACTGGGAGAATTCGGCCATTCTCTGTGTAATCCCAATTCAATCTTAAAACATATTCTAAACTAGCTCACAGGTTTTTATCACCTAAATTTTCTACTATACAATTACCAGTTCTACGTATGTATAAATACGTAAAATATGTATCAATTTTGTTATTGCATCAAATAATAAATATTTCTTGAAATCAACTATTGCTTAGTTATTGAAATGAAACGGCTTTATCAGTCCAATTCAAAATTCAAATTCAATTAGCATTCTAATAAATACTTTCGGAAGCCATTTTCTGGGCACTAATCAGGATTGTAACTTCATAATTGAGCAAGTCAGACGTCATTTGTTTCTTCTCGAACCTTTAAGAAGAACAATAATAGGCTAGAAGGGTAACGAATAATGTCAGAAATGTCAAAGAACAATTAGTTTTTGCGAACGTTTTGTAAAAATAGTCGACCTTACCAATAAGCGCTCTCTAGGAATCATTTTATGTGTAATTTTAGGCTCAATCTTTTGTTAAGACTTTAAAAACCCAATTATAATTAAATTTGGGTTATTATTAAAAATGCTTAAATAATAATTATTAAAAATACTTAAATTGCTAAGTAATTTATCTTCTCTGCGATTAATTATTCTTCTTAGTACATAGTTAATATTGAGTTATCGTACCTAGCGTATGTAGCACAAATTGCCGAAAATCGACGCTGTTGATGAAAAATTAACGATTTACCATTTTTAGGTTTCACTACTGGTAGCTTTTTTTATTGCTTAGACGTGTGATCGAGCGCACCTGGTGTAAAGTGTACTTGGAGCCTATATACATCAACAACGTCAAAGGGCCCCACCCTTAACCTTTGTACCATAGAACTGAGACAAAGAACTCATTTCTCAAGCTTATCGAGATATCGGAACGCATTACAGTTTCGCAGCAGAAACAGGCTGAGCGGTGGTACCTGTCCGTGAAAGCTCACAAGACATCCCACCACCAATACAGTGATGCTAACCGAAATTATTTGATTAAAAGTAAAATGAATTGATTGAACCTCAATGTTGGTCTTGACTAGTTTATTAATGTTATATTTTAATTTCAACCACAGAACCCCTCTATAGAACGTTTCCAGATAAAATTTCACCACGCACCAATCTACTTTTCAATAAATTCGTTTCGCCAAAACGACGGGACTCTTGTAGGATCACTTTGTTGTCCGTCTGTCGACACTTAAAATCGTTTTTCTCGGAGAAGGGTATCAATTTGAAATGAGCATCAAACCGGTCGCCGATTACTTAAATATTGTCGGCCGTCTGGTGTAGTGGTAAGTGACATGGTCACTACACAAGGGGGTCGCGGGTTCGAATCCCGCCAAGGGAGGATATTTGTATGATAAATATAAAATGTCTTTTCCAGGGTTATGGATGTTTATTAAATATATGTATGTGTACAATAAAAATCTTACATTTATTTCCGTTATCTGTTACCTGTAATACAAGTTCTTTACGAACTTAGCACGGGACCAGTTAACGTGGCGTGATTATTAGTAAATATTTATTTATTTATTATTTATTGTATGTAGGTACACCACAATGACATCAGAAAACTTAACCACCACTTAACAACCCACTGAGTTTCTCGCCGGACCTCTTCAGTGGGTCGCGATTCCGAACCGGTGGTAGATTCTGCGAAGAACTACTCTTGCTAGGGCTAGTGTTAGCAAATTCTCTCAGGTTGAGCCTGTGAGCTCACCTACCCGTCCGGGCGTAGCTGGAATATACCGGCTTATACCGGTAGGGGAAAAAAACCTTAAGATCCTTTATGTTACCAAAGAAAAAGTATAGCCATGTTTTGAGGTTAATTAAAACTTATAGTACACTTCCGGTTGATGTAGCATAAGCACGAGCTAACAGTTTATTTGTACATTTAAAGTAAAAGAAAAAAATATTTTTGTAATTTACAAACTTACTGTTTCAACTCACTCAAAGAACGTTACATAAAAAATGTATGGGGATAATATTTGTTTAGCCACAGCATGATAAATTGGTTATATTCTTTTTGGCAGCATAGTTTTAATGAAGGTTACGTTTTATTATGAATTAATTTAATAATTAATCTTAGATTAACATTAATTTAATTATACAAGCCCGTTGTAAACATACCAACTATTCAGAAAAACATCATCAAAAATATACCATAAGTTTCGAAAATTAAGCCTAATTACGCGAACGTGAATAGTGAGATTTTTACCGTTTTTCTCAAGGATGTAATGCACTGTTTAATATTGTACTATATTTATTTCAAAATAAAATAATTATTTATAGACTTTTATACCTACAGTATTTATTTTAAAATATCATTTTGTTATAAAACTATTTAATATCCATTAAATTTTCAAGGCAAAAGTCTGTTGGGATTAATTTTCTTTCAAAATATTTGTAATCATAATTTCACTATTTCTACAACAGTTTCTACAAAATTTCTTTGGGTCACGTTACCTACTTGTTTCAATATTTACTATAGTCGAAACACAGTCAAACTGTCGAAAACGTGCCCGCTGGAAGTCAATTAATAAATTGAAAAGGTAACCGTGCCATGGCGAAGTCTCACCCATCTTATGAAAGGGCTATTATGCTCATTGAATTACGTTTTTCGTCTCGCAGAAAGCGTGAACGATCCATTTCTCAATAAAAGGTGAAATATTTGTAAGGGCTACCTTTATTTCGGCAGATTTCTTTTGATATGTCGTGTTATTGACAAAGTTACATTTGTTCTTTTGGAAAAATTGAATTTGCAAGTAAAATAAAACTAGCGTCAACATTTTGTCGCCAATTCCTGCTTTTTGAAATCAATCTTTGTAGTACACAATTTTATTGCAATCCATGTACTTTATTCATAACAAGCGACCCGCCCCCACTTCCTCCAGGTAATTTAAGAATATAATCCTGAAAGTATAATGCAGTAATTATGAACGTACCGTTTAATGTACCATTATTTTTCTGCAAAGTTTTATTTTTTAAGAAGATTTTAAATTGAATTTTATGCTACTTTCCTCAATAGTGACCAAATTTCTATACAAAGTTTCGAACCATAATTCACCCTTTTAGGTGTACGGTACAGTTTTGAAACAACATCGATATACATATTTTGTTTATTTCTTGATTGAAAATGGCGGATTTTCTTAAAAGTTTTCACCCTTTAGGGTAGCCTTAGGTTGAAATATCTAAAACCCTTTCTTGGTAGATGTTTACACCGAAATTTTTTATTATCAAACTTAAAAAAATGTACCTCTATCGCTTTAGGCCTGCATTAATGAATCGTTCAGTGAGTCAGATAATTAACTATATATGCTTAGAATGAATACGAATCAAGTAATTTCAATATACTAAACAAGGTTCATGAGTAAAAATACTTTGAATTATTTAATTCATTTATTTCGTGTGATCAGTTATTGTTAAATGTAGCTCAGGTTATTCTATAAGTTTTTTTTTAATAATGTCAACTAATTACTGTAATACGTAACTGATTATAGGTAACAGAGCCTAGCTTAGCATTCAGTACTAGTTAAATTATGTGTCCATAATTGTTACAACAGATATCCGGTAATGCTAATTGCCAATTATAACATAATTAGATTTTCTTATAGTGAATACAGTAGTCAAAACGATTATGAATATTATGGAAATCATATAATTTTTTTTTAAGCATTCACTTCTAGAAAATACGGAAATCATTGAGCATCTGACATAATTGGTACATAAATAAAACAGGCAATAGATTCAACAGGCTTTATTTCATATTCTAATGTATAATTAAATAACCATTTCAATTATAAATTGGCACAAACTTAAAAAATATTACGAATATAATATGTACTAACAACACAATAATAATAAACAATTGAACTTTTCCAAGTGATTAATAATTAAAAACATTAATATATTACATTTTCATCATTTTTAACGAGTTATATATTATGTTTAAAAAGATCTATAATATTTTCGATTAAATGTCAGAGATTTAAGATTTCCAATGTCCGGATTACGAATTTAGTGTAACTGTTGACTTAATAGAACTTTGCTGGCTTTGCCGATGGCGCCCAATGGAATCCTGCAATTATGATAACCACAGATTAACATAACGTAAAAATACATTATTAAATCGATTACATACACAGATCAAATAACAGACATGCATCTACTTAAAAAATAATATTACATGTTCGTAGCATCCAAAACATAAGATTTACGTAAAAATAAGCGTAACCATTATATTAATTAACGTACAGTACTAATATAAAATGTAATTAAAAAACAATAATTCATGAAGTGTTTGTTATTAGCTAAGATATGCCTTTTTTATGATTGATGTATTACTGGTGGCCCAGAGGTCTTCCCAGATTCACCAGGACAGGTGGGCGAGCAAACCAGGAGGCGTGGTATATGCTAACAGCTGCCTGAGCGCCTCCGAAGAAGACCTAACAACCCAAGAGCAGCTGCTTCGCGAATGAATCTACTACCGGATCGGAATCGCGACCCGCTGAGAAGATCCAGCGAGAAACTCAACGGGCTGATGTGTGGGTTAGGATATGCCAGTCATTCAGCCACTCATGCATAAAAATAACTTTGCTCATTAAGACTATATCAAATTAAAAAGTCACTTGCATTAGAATAACTGCTATGGCACTCTTAAGACTAGAACGAATGTCTACATACGCTACAGAATTAGGCAGTGCGATGGTACCAATCTGTGCGGCACAACACGCATTACATTAAGTTATGAATTTTGGAGGTTTCATTTCATTACACGAACACGATATTGTTCTTTCATCGCACGCGTCGTTCGTGAGCGCGATATATTTGTTTACTTATAAGATGCAATGTGTTCTTTATGTGAAAATTTAGGTACAAAAAAAACATATCTCAAAACTAATCCACATACAATTATGTATAGTAACTACTTAGAAATAAAAACACATCGTCGAACTCACCGCGTTTGCCGATGTCATTCAAGAAGTTCCTGTTAGCCATAGCTCTTAGGGATTGCAGCTTCCTTTCGTTTTCAAGGCTGAGCTTCTGACGCAGCACAGACATTGGCATGTCAATGGAGAGGGACGGCATGCGTCTCTTAACACGGTCGCTGCCATTCTTCGCGTTCCAACGCAAACACTCACATTAGTCAAAGATCTATTTGTGATTATACAAACTCTCTGGATCTTTAAGTCCGGACAAAATTAAATAACATTTTATCAAAACAACAACATTTATTAACGTTTAATCTTATAACATAAAAGTAAATATTAGTTTAAATAAGTTAAGTTAGTATTAGTTGATGGAAGCGCATAATTTCCATTTTGTTTCGCGATGACAGGACGGTCTGACGGACTAGATGAATCTTCGATGAGGTAGGTCTTCAGTTTTCAGTCAGAATCTTCCACGAATCTACAAAATAAATTATATTTAAATTTCAATACATTTCAATTTAATGACTACGAATCCATTGGACTGGAGCATGCATTCGTATTTCAAAAAGAGCAGCCATTTTATTTTTGTCGTAATTATCGTGCATTACATTTGAGCAATTTCGAAGGCTTCTAAACCACGCATTCATCTACTCTCTACTATACTACAACTATGAATAGGTTCAATAAATAAATGTTAATCATGTTAAGAAATACTAGACTTCACGAATTTTCTTTGCTCTGTACCTATGTTGCGGGATATGGTTATTTCTTTAGTAAATAGATTACGATAATTTCATGTTCTGACCTCTCTTGCCGATTCTATTGAGGTAGTCCCTGTTGCTTTGAACTACTTTCTCCAAAAAGTGGTTGTATGCTCCACGCTGTAGGGTGTCAACTGCGGGGTTCACGGAGAACGACCGACGTGAACGCGCCTGCATCTCGCTACGAACCTTCGTATACACATCTTATATTTACAAAATCATGCATGCAAAACAATAATTTCGATTAAAGTTCGTCGTTTAAAAAATTTTAAAGATATTTATTGTTTTTTACGTAATTGTTTTGTCGGCTTCTAGCAGAAAATCAATAATTAAATTCTGATAAAATACAAAAAAAAATTGTACAAAAAATTTCGAACATATAAAGTTGATTCGCTCAAAACATTTTAACATTAATTAAGATGGCAACGTTAGCAGTATTTTATGATTTATGGTGGTGATTGTCTCTGGAAATGGTGGATGAAATTTATTCGATATTAAGATATTGAACAGATGAAGGCATTATTTCCTATTAGCTCCACTTTCCAAGAAACGGTATCGCGTAACACACTTTCTAATAAATGCATTATGCATTCGAGATGAATTCTGAACTTTATATAACGATTGGAGTTCAGTCACATGAGAATTATGATTAAAACGTTTTCATATTTAAACAATACTATTTTTATGACATGCGATGTATAAGATCTGGATCCCATATAGACCACAATGTTAACGCTGCTACCCACTTTGAAGTTTGACATATAAGTTTTGTATAGTACGTATTATAGTAGTATATTATAGTAGTATTATAGTAGTAGTACGTAATATCCCATCTTCCAAACCCAAACGTATTACTACATCGCGATAGAAATAGGCAGGGCAGTGGTACCTACCCGTGCGGGGCTATGAGACGCCCTACCGCCGGGAAAGCTATAATACGATGTTTTTTATCATATTATTAAAATTCCGAACAATAATCTGTCGTTTAATTTTACATGACTTCCAAATGTTGCTCCCGTTGTAATTTTTATCACTAAGATTAATAATTAAATTTAGTCATAAAAATTACAATTATTTTAATTGTTATTTTGGTTATTTATTTCAATCTCAAAGAGTTTTGAATCAATATGTATATTTATTTTATGCCGTCTCGTTGTGAACGTAGTTAACAAAAGGTTAAATCACAATAAGTCCCGGGGGGTACGTAGGACACCTTAACGATTATTGATCGTCGGTGGACTAGGCGACGCTTCTAATTGGCAATGTAATTTGTTTAACTAATTACAGGGAAACGTCTTCAACTTAAATAACGAATGGACTGTAAAATTATCAGGCGGCACTTAAACAAGAGAATCGGAGAGCTCCCGTCGATTTTGGCAGCCACAAACCACGGGTGCTAGAATTCGATGAACAAATTATACAATGAATTATGTTCAAAACGAAAATCTAACTTCGGCTCCGTTGACTCGCGAAATAAAAGTATCGATATCGAAATATTTCCAATAATATTTTCATTTGCTTCGTAGCTCATTAGGCATTTACAAAGTGTTCATTCTTCGATGCGTTCGACGAGTTGTTCACGTAGATACTACTTTTTACAATTCCATTGCAACAAATTTTGGTAAAGTATATTTTTAACTCAAATTAGAAGAGTACCGTTTATTTGAATACAATTAAATATTTAGTTTTTTACCTGAGGGTCGTGTGACACGTCAGCAAGAAGGTAGAGCCACGGAGCAGCGGCGTAACGACCGCTCAGAGATTGCATTGCAAATCCCAGACTTTCCTGTAACGTATTATTGATTAGTATATTTGAAGCAATGATATTTATACTAATATATAAATCTACAGTGGTTGTTACGGATGTTCCATTATAACTACTGAACCATGCATCCGATTGACTTGAAACTTGGTGTCCATGTGGAAAATACATGTACTTAATGGATAGGCTAATATTTATGTGAGTGTTGGACTCCCTACGCCAGTTGCGGGGGCGTTAATTATGAGAATCTTTGTGGGGGTGAGAAATAATAATGTTAATTTTAAATGCCCAGCAAAGCGGACGGGTACAGCTAGTATAATATATAACTTGAATTTTTTTCTTGTCTTTGCATGTGTATGTTGTTAGTACATGAAATTATCTTGAAAAAAAAACGCGGTTTATTGCACCTTTACCAAATTACGGTTGTAGTTTCGTATTTTCTGGTGATATGTAACCGTTTTTATAAGAGGCGGCAAACACTTCTTGTTTCTGTTCTTCGTTATAGACCACAATAAGCCGTCGGTCATCATATACTTCTTTGTCGGCTTCAAGGCTTTGAGCCCTTTAGGTACTTAAGACTTTAATTCAAACAAGAAATTTCTCTAAGGCGAATTACGTGAGGCGTTTTCGGAACAAGAATATGTTTTACTTCCAAATTTTGGAAAGCCCTATACTAAAAATAAAGCTCTCTAACAAATATTAACGTGAAGGACTATGGTTTAGGTGGTGTATTTGTATTCAGTGTCTTTTCCCCGCGGATTCGACAATTTTCCACCTCGCGAGCAGAGCACACATTGTTTCATAAAAACGTATTCTAGTAAATGACTTGTTTGTCGGTGGATCGTGATGAAAATACCGTGTTTTAAAAGAGCTCATCGCATTTGGTTCACGTCTTCAGCAAGAGTACGATACATATGAAAGTTACTCGATTTAAGGCTCGAAATTAAAACTATTATTGAATGATACCCGCTGTTACAGCAGCGCTAATCATACATTATTTTCAATACTTAAACCGATTGTCCTTCTATCCAGTCCAGTGGTTATCGCAACCCATAAACATCGACGTAGCGAGCTCAAGGAAGAGAAAAAGCGTATCTATTACTAGGTTTTGCCCGCGACTTCGTCCGCGTGGAATAGTCCACAAATAATGCTTTATTTTAGAACAAATTTAGTTAGCATAAAAAAACGTTATAGTGAGCCAACCTTATCATATAGACATATGCCGTTGCGGACTTTTTTTTTAGATCTTTTAAAGGGGAACAATTCTGTCATAAATTATTTTAGCGAAACTTTAACCGTTTCTGCAGCGCACGCAGCGGAAGCTCTCAAAAGGTAAAAATAGCCCCGATTTTGAAACATTCTTTATTGGTGTTCCGCTTATATTAGTCTTAGCCCGATGTTATATATCGGAAGACTATAGCCTATAGTCTTTCTCGATAAATGGGCTATCTAACACTGAAAGAATTTCGGAACAGTAGTTCCTGAGATTAGCGAGTTCAAACAAACAAACTCTTCAGCTTTATAATATTATCTATTACGTATAAAATAAATATCAATTTACATCGTCAGCTAGAGAAGGATCCATTTGCATGAGGTCGATGGAGTCAGTTGGGGGTGCCGCTGCAGTGAACACGCTGCCGGCCACCATCGCCGCGCACCATACTGCCCACCACATCTGCAATAGAGACGTTATCAGTACCCAATCATTGCATTATTGCATGTTGAATACCCATAAACAAAGTGTACTTTAACAAAAGTTGTTGGAACATGTTGCATGTAAGCTTATTCTAAAGCCTTACTCTGTATCTGTAGTCAAAATATCGGAAGACAATTTGATTGACGAAATCAGATGAGAATTCTAGTACTATTGGCTAACCACGGAGATGCTGTAGTGAAGATTCGAGGGCGCAGGAGTTGGATTCAGGTTTTTTCGTATGCCTTTAGTTGTAGTCAAACACTATAGAGACTTCCATCTCATCTCATCGTGGGCAGCGTCACCCACTTCGTGATTTCTATGGACTTTATACACACTTGAATACTTGAAGCTTGGCTATTGCAATTGACATTTTTAAAAAATCTATCAAAAGGACATTAAAACAAAAAATGCTGTCTGTATGCTACGATGATCAACCGCAGTCAAATATGGATACGCACATATGATGTCAAGTAGTTAATCTTTTTTACAAGACTTAGGACATGAATTCAAAACATAACACAATATCGAACTATAATACATTAACTGTGGTTGAATAATGAGTATATCATGTAGGTAATGAGTATATCATAGGAAGTGTGAAAATAGCTCCGGTAATTAACAAATTAAAGAGCGGACAGCTAGCGCGGTATGGACATGTAATGCGTAGAGAGAAGATGCATGTGACTAGGAGACGTATGGAAATGGTAGTGCAATGTAGAGGGAGAAGAGGTGGACCGAAGAAGACATGCACGGAGTATGTGAATGACGATATGAGAGAGAGAGAGGAGTGAGTATTGAACTGACGGCTGATAGAAGAGAATGGAAGAGAATAATTAGCTGTGCCGACCCCACCAAGTGGGATAATGTGTAGAAAGAGAAGAGAGAATTCATTAACCGTGGTCCTTTAAAATCAATGTCTGAAAAACGTTTCTTCGTGGAAAATAAATTTTACATAGGCTGTATGAGAAATTAAAATTTCAAATATAAGCTAACGGTCCGACCTCCATCGTGCTTTCGCTTTGATTATAGGTTCCCGCAGAGCGTATGCATTTTGTAAGCTGAAATCATAAATATTCAATGGCACTCTTTAATTCCCACCTTTAGTCTAATGACTAAGAGACGGGACAGGCCACACGTGCATGATTAAAATATAAAACTGCAAAAGGAGGTCTCGATCTCTTTGTTTTTTTTTTTAAATATATAATTTATTAACATTCTGATAACTAAATGAAATAAACTTTTGGAACGCTACAATAAATGTAACGGTAAAAAGCTTCGACGGGCAACCTAATTTCAATAGATTTTCTATTTTCTAATTTCATTACAGTTACAGATAATGCTATCTGTCAGAACAACAACAATTTGATACCTATTTAAATAAAAACCATACGTCACAATCTAAGGTAATAAAAAAATATTAACATGGCACTGAAATATAAAAATTGATTTTTGCATAAAAAGAAATGCGAATTAATCATATTACATTAAAATCAACTTAAAGCTTAGATTAAAAGAAGTAAATTCCCTCATTTTAATAGTCTTGTTTGTTCTCAATGTGTAAAACAAGCAATAGTCGTTACAAACAATCTATCCAATGGTATTTATTATTGTCACTCAAGCTTAAAACCCAATAATTTATCTTGCAGTTACGTAGAATAGCTTTGATTGACGGTAAAATACAATTCGGATGCACATTATCTGAAATCGTAGTGATAATAAATAAATGAACATTGTCACATCACGTGACATTATGCGAATAGAAAATTTTGAAATTAATAAATTTAAAATACAACACCGACTTAAATTTGTAGCTTTAATAATAATAATAATAGTAAATGTTGTTGTTGTTTGTTGATTGTATGGGAATACCTTTTAGACATGTTCAATCACAACACACAGCTATTTTATGTCGACTTTTAAAATGTTCATGAAAATTTATCGATGATTTTATATAGGGAAATGTTTCATTTTGTTAAAAAAAAGGAACGTCAAAGACAAATTCTTAATAAGTATGGAAAGCGTTTATCAAAATATTAAGCAATTAAGATGTGATTTCTACGATGCTCAGAGTAAGTGTATTTACAGAGAGACCGTTTCGACAACTCAACAAACTTTCCTTGTTTATGGTCTGACCACTAGCTCCCCTTGTGATAAACACGCCGTATGTAACAAGCTCTAACTGTTATGTGTATCCCGACATTTCTGAGAAACTTTCCGTCATTGTACTGCTGTCATAATTTTGTTAAATTAATTAATTAAAAAACATCTTTACGCTTTCAAATTACGTATAGAGTTTGACCACGATAACTGTAAATTCTTCGAAACGTCTAGAAATATGAAATGTAAAATTATAACATAATTTTAATTATGTCTATGATCAGCGTACACTTAAGAAAATACTAAAATTAATTCGGCTAGGAAAATATCAATGATAAAAGAGATAATCACTAAACTAAAATCAACTCAAAGTTAATTTGCAACAGTCAATATTAATCTTAAGAACATTAATCAAGGAATTCCCGGTCATAATAATACAACTCGATGATTACGTGTTAATAATGTTACATTTCTAAATTGCCAAAATGGTTAGCTACGAATTCGTTTCGGTACACAAATTAAAATAAAATACAACTCATTTAATTAAATTTTCTGAATTCTGAATTCGCAGCTCTATTTCAGTTTCCATGCAACGGACCGGTTTATTAAAATCTCTATTTTCCGTCCGTACAAAATACGAGTGCTCATTCATAATATGTTTTGGTGTTTCACGTCACCGACGCACGTTATTTTCCCTGAATAATCTTTGGTTTTTTTATTTTTTTTTATTGCTTTGATGGGTGGACGAGCTCACAGCCCACCTGGTGTTAAGTGGTTACTGGAGCCCATAGACATCTACAACGTAGACGCGCCACCCACCTTGAGATACAAGTTCTAAAGTCTCAGTATAGTTACAACGGCTGCCCCACCCTTCAAACCGAAACGCATTACTGCTTCACGGCAGAAATAAGCAGGCCGGTGGTACCTATCCGCGCGGACTCACAAGTGGTTCTACAACCAGTAATTGGTTGCCCAAGAGCATATTTAAACTAGAGGTGGACGGGTAAATGAACTCATGGGATACAGCCTGAGAGGCCTTGCTAACACTACACCCTAGCAAGAGCAGTGAGTTCGCACCCTAGCAAGAGTTCGCTGAATCTACCACCGGATCGGAATGGCGACTCTGAGAAGATCCAGCGAGAAACTCAGTGGGCAGTGCCCGACCTTTCAATCACCTGTAATCACAAAAAATATTCTTTAACGTAAATTACGTTTTGTAATTTGCAAAGGTCCTTTGTTTTCACGACGCCGATCCACATCTATTCTTATTATCCCAATTTTCCGAAGAGATACTCGTAATAATGTTAGTAATGTTAGCACGTATTTTTACGGCACATTTTGATTTTGGCTTGATAATACGAACGAGTTGTACGAGTGCGGTACTAGATTGATTGCTATTTTATCTATAGAAGCAGATAATTTTTATCTCGATGAATCGGTACCAAATAAAAAGGTACTTATAGGTATCAGTTCGTGATAATGGATACTTAATTAAAAAATATAACAGCGTAATTAGAGCTCACAGTCAAAGTAAACTAAAACATTAAGAATTAATAAAAAATAACGCAACGATAGGATGGGACTTTCAATGTGCATGTTTTCTGTTGAGCATACGAGCCACTGCTAATCTAGTATAAATTAACTGCTAAACGTCGTATATTGGTACGTGAAAACCTACTTTGAGGCGTGAGAACAAACTCAAGAAGTACTTAGACGTACTTAGATGTACTGTAGATGTCTATGGGCTCCAGTAACCACTTAACACCAGGTGGGCTGTGAGCTCGTCCACATATCTAAGTAATAAAAAAAAAACTTGGACTGCGCTACCGTTCCGACTCACAATACGCCATCAATAAATCAAATCTATTTCCAATAACATTTGTCAATGTTTTACGATGATATCATTCATTTTAAAGTTTGAAATTAAGTATAGATAAGATATATGAGTCGTCTATTATCAAAGGTGGCAATCTGTACATTTGGACAAAACATTTTTATTGATATGTCAATACAGATTTATTTGAATATAATCGTCTCCTTCAAAGAATACGGTTCAAAACCTGCATTAAATAAAGGTTAATAGTTAACCTGTTATTTATCTAAGATGTCGTTCCGAAGAGTTTTGTAACTGCCAATGGAATACAAAGTCAATAATTCGTTTTTCTGATTTACCAATCATTGTCCAAAAGTCAGATTGCCGGCTTTGATAATAGTCGACTCATATCTAAATACTACATTAATCAATTTGTAATTTATTTATTAGTAATGATCTGCTCCGGCTTCGCTTGGGTCAGTCAAGATGGTCTTGTAAGTATATTATAGTAATTAAGTATGTAATATTTTAAATATTTTTTTACGTATCTTTATACATATATATAAATATTAAGATTTAATATTGAATTTCATTCCTTCGAAACGGCTATAATATTTTGATATTCAATCGACAAGCTTAAATTTTCGATTGATGCCAGTTTCGAACCCCACAAAACATTATAGACGTTAACATTTAAATGGTTTTCAAATCAAAGCAAAAAATATATTATTCAACATAAATGGAAGTACATAGGTACTTGTTGAACGTCAAAAGAACTACCGCCAATTCACAAAAACTGGCCTCCGTCCGTCCGTTTTATTATTAAACCTGCAGATACAAAATAGGCAGTGTCCTCCGCCTGTACTTATAAAAAGGGACTAAAACGCAGAAATTTTCCATTGCGTGTGTGTGTGCTCGGTACGACCTCGCAGGAAGTTGACGATTCAAAGAGAAATCAAAATCGTTCAGTTATTTCATGGTTTTATTAGGCGAGAGGCGAGAGGTGATAACCGTAACGTACGTAATTTACATAAGATTCTTTCGGATGTGTTCCATTCGTCAAAAAACACAAGGGATTATTATGAATCCTTCAACGCAGGGCGATAGCTAAAAGGCTAAGTTTTATTTTATAGTAAACTAGCTGACCCGGCAGACTTCGTAGTACCTCAATCGATAAATAAAAGACCTAAACATTTGTATAAAATGAACTTAAAACAAACAAAAGGGATCCGTCCGACGGGGTACACATCAAAGGAAAAACAAAATTGTTATTTTTATTTAATTCCGAGCATGTTCATTTTGATCTATCCTTTAAGCCTTCTCTGGACTTCCACAAATAATTCAAGACCAAAATTAGCCAAATCGGTCCAGCCGTTCTCGAGTTCTAGCGAGACTAACGAACAGCAATTCATTTCTATTTAGATAGAGTAAGGTTTGGTTTGTTGGAAACTGATTTTAATATACCTTGCAAAGAAAAATTGGCTAAAATCGAAGTATAGCTGTCAGTGGGCTGTCAGTTCTCAAAACAATCGTTAGCTGGAAAAAACATGAACAGGAAAACGTTAAATACCGGCGTTGAAATTGAAATTTCCAATTTTGTTTTTATTAATTGAGAAATAGAAGAAAGAAAGAATAAGGTATGAAATTATTGTGCAATTAATTTTCCTCCATCATTTTAGTATCTAACAATAGTATTACCAAAATTAATTTACGAGTTAAAATAGCATCAAACTTTATTGTACTCATTTAAATTTAGAATTCGTGTTGGACGTTGAATTACGACAATAAAAATCGTAAACCTAGTACTTAGTGACGATGCCCGAACGATCTGCGGGCCGTAATAAATTTCTTCAGAAACGCCACTCTAGACGAATGTCTCCCGCAGCTCTGGGATCACACTATCGCTTTCTTGTAAAAATTCACCAAATAAGAAGGCCATACATACGCGTATTGAAGTTTCAGACATGTGAGGATAGATTTCTCAAAAAGCAAACGTATCTTAGATGATAAACCTAAAATTAATTTCACATATGCTTTAAAACGAAAATTTTTCATTCGTCCGTGTTAAAATATTCACACTAGACTAAATTTGCGTTTTTGCCCTACAACTTCAAATAGCAAATATTGACATGTCAGCTCGCTACGAACAGGAAGTATGCCACATGTCGTACTTCCGCCCTTCTCCATGGAGCACAGCTTTTCCCATTAATCACAGAATGATGGCTGCTATTCCCACTTCACAAAGTTAAATACTTGCGTTCCACCTGTTTCATGCATCCATTTGATTTTAATTCTACATTGCCATGTGTAACTAATGATTATGTATGACTGTATTCCGGTATAATTGACAAACTAACTTATTACTAAATATATTGTAGAAACGTACAATAATAGATTTTGATGATTATTACCTAAGAAGAGACGCAAAATTCACAACAAATTTTCTGTACGCTGTTTTGTTTTTGTGTAAAAAATAATATATGCAATAAATAAATAAAAAAACAGTTGTTTTTGCAGTTTCCTAAACCAGTTTAACTGTAGACTGTATTAATTACGTCAATTGAACATTATTGACTGTACATTTACGAGCCATTATAAAGAGCAATCAAAGTGAAAACCTCAAAAGAAAGGCGCTAACAGGAATGAATTGTTCGAGCTCCATTGAAATCACAAACAAAAACGTTACAAAGAAAGTCGATGGTTCGAACAAAAGAAAATATTAACGATCACGTGCTAGTGCTTAATGAAACTACGTCGATCATCAATCAATTATTTTATGTATTAGTACTTATTACTGTACTAAATAGGTAATATCTGCGGGTATTCGATTTTATTATAACCGCAAATGATTTGTAAAGGAATACAAAAGTTATTATCACATTTTTAGTTTCTTCAATCAGACATATTTGAGAACTTGAATCTATATATTAATACGTGAATCGAAAACTTTGTATCCCTTTTTATGAAAATTGCGCGGACGGAGGAGTATGACATTTTCCACACTTATAGAGAATATAGAGAACAAGTGCACAATGCTAACATTTTTTTTAAATAATGCATAAAAGATATATTAAATCAATAAAGAAAACATTACACACACTACATACCATGTATTTGACGCACACACGCATGCATACTATTTATTGTCAAACTTTTGTTCTTGGCGTCTGTTGTCAAATTGAGAATAGATTAAATTATAATAAAGAAATATAGTAGAATTTCGACTACAGAGGGATCGCAAGTACTTGTAAAATGTGCTGCTCTTGGTTATATTATCAAAACCGTTGCGTTTATTAAAAGCTACCATAACATATTACTTGAATCGAAATGTTGATTATTTTGGTAACCGTTAATTATCGTTTTTTTTTATTGCCCTTGTAGGCCGACGAGCATACGGCCCACCTGATGGTGAGTGGTTACCGTCGCCCATGGACTTCAGCAATGCCAGGGGCAGAGCCAAGCCGCTGCCTATCGGATTTTAGTTTGTTTCATCTTTCTTTATTTTGTTTAAATTTATTAATATTACTTACCATTTTTATTGGTGCAATCCGACGACACTCGGCAGACAGATCTGAAAAAATGATAATCAACATTAATATAGTTTTTTTTTATTTTTTTATTATAAACATATGAGTAAGAGGTACAGCCGATAAAAAATGGTCAACACCGCCAGTCGACTGACAGCAGTAATGCCCACAATGGGCTAAATTATTTTAATTCAACAATATGTTATTATGTAAGCGTATTCTACTCTAATCATTTTATATTTGTTTTTTTTTAAACTGCGCTCGGGACTATAACGCAACAAGTGACCAAATACAAAAATATAATATAAAATTATTAAGGTCATTATTATCTGTTTTTAAGCTTCCGTGGGCAAGAAGTAATGAAACCCTTAGAGTTATGAATTGTATTTCGTGTATAATATAAATATCATAGGGATTTTAATCTGAACCTATTGGCGTAGCATATGATAAGTAGATACTAGCTATAAACACCAATTCATAAAATCTGTTATAAAATAAATTTACTGGTGGTAGGACCTCTTGTGAGTCCGCACGGGTAGGTACCACCACCCTGCCTATTTCTGCCGTGAAGCAGTAATGCATTTCGGTTTTAAGGGTGGGGCAGCCGCTGTAACTATACTAAGACCTTAGAACTCATATCTCAAGGTGGATGGCTGCATTTACGTTGTAGATGTCTATGGGCTGCAGTAACCACTTAACACCAAGTGGGCTGTGAGCTCGTCCAACCAACTATACAATAAAAAAAAACCATATTGCTCCGCAGTAAAGAAACAGCAAAAAATGAGTTCTAAGATACGTAGTGCCATAGGATATGGGAAGAACAAACATACCTTTAATTTACATTTTGAATCATTAATTCTATTTATTTTCAAAGATGTACCTTATCTTTTATCGTATTTTTATATTATCTCTAATTTTAACTACTAACTAATTTTAGTAAATATTTGGAAATTGGTAGTTGGGTATCTCAACTAAAATCGCATTACTTTTGAAATATTAGCTGACCCGGCAAACATTGTTTTGCCATATATAAGATTTCTAGGGAATTTCTAGTGTAGAAAAAAAACTAACTTATTGTAAGTCTTTAAGGATGTGGTAAATGAGTGAAAGAGGTATGTAGCGTTGTGAACGATGAGGGAATGTAAAAATAACAAAACCTCATTCAACCACATAATGCCTCATTATAACAACAAAAATTGTCCAAAAAAAAAATTGTTAAGTGTGGACAACCCTTATCACTTAGGGCTATGAAAAATAGATAGTAGCTGATTCTCAGACCTACTACTAAACATGCATATAAAATTTCATTAAAATCGGTCAAACCGTTTCAGAGGAGTATGGTAACTAAGATTGTGGCACGAGAATTTTATATATAAGATATTACTAAATTCGTGCTAGTTATGGATTTTTGTCGTAGACCCCTTGACTACGGTACTGATCATCGTTTGCACGGCTGTCACGTACCTACACAATGTTGTTTCCATTATTTAACATAGGCTTGGTTTCTCCTCAATTTCAATCAGAATCTGTTCGACTATTTCCACGGGACGTTACGTAATATAATATTCGATATCGTGTCACACTCCTGGTCTACAACGGTATGATCGACATGACCCAATTTAAGTTATCAGAAACTATGTAGAACGAACCCCAATTTTATTAGTAGAATGACGACAATAGATTCTTATTCACGCTGTCGGTATGTAAGTAGTTGCAATTAATTTTAAAAATCGTTTGTTATTTCATTTCATAATTAAGCTATGGTAGGCTTTATTTGCATTCTTCAAATAACCAAAAAAGTAAAAGTAAAGTTCTATTTTTAGATAAATTTCCTGAGAATATTATTAGCTTGACTTATGATTAGAATATTAAAAAGTTTACCCACCACAAGATGAAGAATGAAACCCTACATACTTTAGAACTAGTTAACTTTAGTTCATTAAGTCGTGTTTCACAAGTATTTATAATGTTAGAATAGCAGAGAAATTTCTCCTCACAAAAAGAAAACGTTAACAGATAGAGTTTAAGTATAGCCTTAAACTTACAAAACCCTTTAAAAGTAACAATAACAAGTAATAAAAAGCTAAACAAAATCATGAGAATGTTTTAAGACATCAAAATTATTTCTTCAAGCAAATTCAAACAAATCTTTGCGGCCTAAATTCAAGAAATATGTTGGAAAACTCAAAGGAAATATTCCTTTATTCGATGGCAAGTAAAAATTTAATTGCTTACAGGTAAAATTACAGCTTTTCGATCAAACGTGATGTTATTCAGCTGTCACTTGAGGGAGTGCAATTAGCGCGCGAGTATAGGCCGCTACCATCAGAGGCTGATCACGGTGAACAATGGTTTGTCCGGTGCCAAGCGCTCTAGGAGCTGATCGATTGAATTGTCTTCTGCACTTCAACAATATTGACTTCCAAAATTTGGAAATTACGTCCAATTCGGACGGAGTTACAAAGCCGGGAGCAGCCTCATTCAATATTTATACTTATACATACATAAATAACATAGTTACGAAAGATATTTTTTTAAATTAAATATAAAGGTTTTTTAACTATGCGAAAGATAGACTTTATAGTACTACAAACATTGCTAGAAAACGTAAATACAAAATAGGATTTAAAAACACTTTACTGTTGAAACCAAAGTTTCAGAGCTCGCTTACCGGGCGTACCTGGAATAGCCCCCTAGGCTGCCAGCGAATAGGTAGGGGGAAAAAAACAAAGTTTCATTCATTCATTCATTTTAAATACTTTACAGTTTTTGTGGTCAGTGTAGATGAAATTATATTACAGATCTTTGGCTAGTTCTGGGTAAGGGAAACCTCGAGTAGTTCAAATTATTTTTATTATTATATAATTGCTGATAATAATAATATTATGTAATTTTTTTCCTGAATTTCTTGCTGATTCTTGTCGTGAAGCCTATGAATGAATCTCCGAATGAAAATGGAATGAATGAATCTTCTGAATGCCTATCAAAGCCTAAAAAATAAAAGTTAATTTAATATGAAATTGATTTACGCCGCAGACATGTTTAGGTTAGGGTTTTTTTTATTGCTTAGATGTGTGGACGAGCTCACAGCTCACCTGGTGTTAAGTGGTTACTGGAACCCATAGACATCTACAACGTAAATGCGCCACACACCTTGGGTGTTCGAGAAAAACTCTGCCAAAATTTCAAGAACTATGCCCATGAATCTTTGAATGCATTAGGTTTATTGAGGGTAACATTTAAAACGTAATGTATTCAAAGTAAATTTAAAAGGCAAAGTACAACCTAATAACTTGAAATTTTGATACTTCTCTACAGACCTACCCTATACAAAGCACAGATTAGCACACGGCCACTAACTACTAGCTCACAGACTACTAGCTGCTTCCGTTTTAGGAATGTCAATAACCTTAATCTTACGGATCCTTTGGAAACTCTAGATATACAGAGAGTAACCTTACGGTTTATATCGTGTAGCTTTGCTTGCTCTAAGGAATTATTTTAAATAATACCGTCATCTCCTTTTCATTATCTGAATCTTGTCATAAGATAAAATACTCCAAGTTTTATTTCTAAATATTCTTCAACGGTTTTGTTACAAAGGAAAAGAATGAATTTGTAAATATTTATGAGCACATAATATGTCAATTCAAAAGTTTGAAAAGTAGAAACTTATTCAACTCGAACGGAGCAGAGCGTAAACTTAAATGCGGTGAGCGGATTTTTCGGTGAAAGTGAATGTCGCATTTCAGCTCGTGAACTGTATGCTTAGTGCTAGTTTTTCAACGTTCTCGATAGCGTAAGAGTTAACCCAATTTTGTAAGCAGTTAGAACAGCGCCCCTAACGGCAAACGTAGGCAAATTCCCCTACCTATGCTGATAGCCTTGAGAGGCTATTTCAGCTTCACCCTAACGTATGTAGGTGAGCTCGCGGGGCTCAACCGGGGAGTTGCTAACACTAACCCTAGCAAGAGCAGTGCTTCGCAGAATCTACCACCGGATCGGAAACGCGACCCACTGAGAAGATCCGGCGAGAAACTCAGTGGGCTGTGTCTATGGGTTAGTTCGCTCGTCGAGCCCTTCGTCGCAAGCGACGGGTTCGACGAGGACGGTGACCGGTGCTTGTGGTGCCTAAAAGCACCGTTAATGGATCAGGAGGATCCGTAATGACGTGCTTTGGGCGACGTCGACGGTTTACCATTCGGTCTACTGGGTCGGGTATGTAATTTCCAGCGGCTACGATGAGAGGGTTCTCATGTCGTGCCGCCTTCTCAAAATGGCGCAGCAAACGTAGGCAAACGATTCCATTCCATCTAAATATGAGCTAACTTGTACGCTATCAAGAACGTTCAAAACCCGCACTAAGCACACTGAGGTCGGGCGAAGTCTGAAATGGTCATCACAGTCCCTATATCAAAATGCATGATTGCTTTTTGACTCAAATTAAAGCGGATCTGCAACATCGACATACGAGAAACTCACAACGTGCCTACCTACCATTATTATTAAGGTATTGAAAATGTTTTGAAGGCAATACAAAGAATGATTAATGAACAATGTATTACATTTCTATTTAGACGTGCGCGTAAATAGTGGGATAGTTCCAAGGTTTTTGCGAACCTTTAACATGATTATCACGTTTTTATTTTGTACATTTCTAAGTTTGGGATGGGTTACAACTCTCATAGTCACATAGTTTTCTGTGAACGAAATAAATAGCTGTGAAAGATTTTTTACTTTATGAAAATTAGGTTTCTTGTGTTATCTTTGCAAACGACCTTTTAGAGCGTAAACACAATTATTAAAATTGAATTTTACTAAAGCAAACAAAAACCTGTACTTAATACTCATTTAGTCCTCATTTGTTGAGACTTACTATGTGATTTTGTGTGAGTCATTTGTACGTTTGTTTACGCTATTTTTTGCTTAAAAAGTACAAAATAAGCTTAAGTTAAATTTTTATATTCTATTTGTTTCATTTAAGTGAGTCGTGTCGTAAAAAAAAAAACTCAAATCTAGTAATCAGCAGGATTGGCAATCAGAT